GTTTGGGTTCAGTTTGTATTGGGGGTGGGGGTTCACAGACAGTGCTATGTACTTCCTATTACCGCACGGTAAGGCACATACTGTCTGGTTGCTCCACAAGGTCTGACACGCACCCCAAACCATCAGTCTAGGTTGCTGAAGCCAGAAGAGCCGCTGCAGCCCTCACAGAGCTTGGATTCAAAGCTGGAATTCTTAACCACCGTGGCAGAGATAAACACACACATACAAGCAGCTCTGCTTTGGTTTCTTTGTTTTGTGGGGAGGGGGTTTCTTGAAAAAAGTGTTTTTGATACTAAAAAACCTTAACACATTAGATCTAATCCAATTCCCTCATTTTATGGATGAAGAAACAAGAGACAGAGAGAAAGGAAGTGGGGGTTGCTGATGATCACAAAGCTGGCCATGAGCAGAATCAGAAGTGAAATGAACACTCCTAATAATGGTGATCATTTACTATAAGATTTTTAAAATAGCAATATTAAAAAGGCAGCACTTATTAGATGATCTGTGCCTGGCACTACACTAAAGGCTTTATACACATTATCTTCTTTAACTCTTATGACCTCTGAAATAGTAACTATCATTATTCTCATTTTGAGAATGAGGTAATAGTGGCTCAGAGAGGCTGAGTAATTCGCCCAAAATTGCACAGCAAGTGAGATGCAAAGCTTGATACGTACAAATATTGAACAATTATGTTGTACACCTGAAATACAATGTTTTATGTCAAGTAAACCTTAATTCAAAAAAAACCCAGCAGGGGCAGCAGCAAAAGAAGCAAAGCTAAGACTCAAAAGTGCAGACTATATGATTCCAGGGCAGAACACTTCCATCCAGTCTGCTTCTTGTGGTGGGGCAGGAAGGGGCCAGGATCTAAAGTAGCTTCGATGCTATGAGGTCTTCACACAGTGAAGCCTGATGCCCCAAATCCACACAGATGCCCCAGCTGGTACAACTGGGCGGAACCTGGGGAAGGGTCCAAACCCAGGAAGGAAAGCAGAGGAGAAGGAAGGTTTATCTGGGGCCAGCTCAGGGAGGCGGAAGAACCCTGCAGTTGCCATGGGTCAGCTGGCATAATAACCCTTTATTTTACGCCGTCAGTTAGCTGCACTTCAAAAGGACACAGAAAAAAGTGATGCCTAGAACACAAACACTCAAGTCTCAGACCCTGCCCCCGACTTTCTTCGAAAGAGAATCAAGAAAAAGACTACAGCATTGGTTAGTCTTCTTACTACACGAAGTCAGAGGTGCCACACAACCAACCCACCGATTCCCGCTGCTGGCGGTGGAACCTTGTGGCTATGATACCCTCAGGTCTCAACCCACCGCACATCACGAGCCATAGCCAACTTTCAGTTCAGTCAGACCGGCCTCTCCCCACAGCCCTGAGAGCACAAAGGCGCTCTCCCCACAGGTAATGTGAAGGAAAGGCAAAGGAACAAATAAAAAACCTATTTTTAAAACATTAATCACTGCACATTCCAAAGCAAAAACAGCCAATTCTTTAGGTCACCAACCCTTGAGATTATCCATACTATGCCCTTCACATCTGTGGACAAGCAAAAGTCCATTTTTAAGGAGATGGATCCTACATATTTCATGGAGTACTGAGACAATACCAGAAAAGGCAAGTACTTCATTGATTTACAGGTGGAGAACACAGAGACCCAGAAAGGGTCCCGGAAAGTCCCATAGACTTAATCTCCCAGACATGGTATAAGAGCTACCATATGCCAGGCACTGGGCTACACACTTTACACATATCATTACAGTGATCGCTCACAACAGCCCCATGAGGCAGGTAAATCATAATTTAATTCCTATTATACAAACGGGGAAGCTGAGGCACAGAATGGTTAAGGAACTTGCCCAAGAAGGCACAGCTAGCAAGTAGTAGTGCTGGCATTTGAACCCACACAGTTTTGACCCCAGGACCTTTGCTATATATTTCTTCTTTAAAGTAAGATGTCTTGCCTCTCTCACACTTAAAGGGTTGTGGCTAGAATAAGGAAAAAAATTTTTAATATTTTCAAAATATTCTCAGGGAAGGAAACAACATAAAGCCAAAATAAAAATCCCAAGACTACAAATCTACAAACATGAGATGTGGAAGCTTAAACCAGGATAGAGAACCCCACAAGAAAGAGGGGACGTCAAAAAACATCTTTTATTACTAGTTACTGCACGTGTGCCTTAAAGAACTAAAACACTAGCATCTGAGCCAAAAGGAGGACTAAAAATAGGCGTTTGCAGCAAGCTTTGGAAAGCTTTTAGCTGGCTTATGAGGCACTCATTTCTGCAGACTCCCAAAAACATGTGCATCACAGTACACAAAAATCCCAAGACCACACTGCCACTCCACTGGTGTCACATTTAAGCTTGTCCAAACTGCAAACAAAATCCGGGCTGGAAAAGCGCCTTGGCAATCCACGTAGACTCCAAAGAAAGGACCACCAGCTAACCTTACCAGACAGATGATTCAATCACGAAATTCTCCCTCAAAAAGCATCCAAGCCCTCACAACAGGCTTAAACAGAAAAGCCACCGGATTAACTCAGTTACTCTGACAAAGATTACGCCAAAGGTTCAAAACCAATGAGTAGACAAGACACTTTCTTGCCGTAAGATTCCAGAAAAACAAGAACAGAGCAAATCTACCAGACTCAGAATTTTGCTTTGGGGACTTAAAGCAATCTTAGCTTCCCCACTCACAGGGAAAGGCGAGATGCCAGCCAAGCTGTCTTCTTCCCACGATCAATAACCCCAATGACTCACCCTAGCAAGGGCCCCTGAACTTCCACAAAATGCCAGCTCAGGCACCCAATACCACCTGATGTCATGGCTGACCTAAAACCCACAAGGCAGGTTCACCAGTAGCTCAGCAGCAGCAGCCAGGGTGAGTAGCCCCATTTAAACTTCTGAGGAGTGCTCTCTCCTGGGGATGATTATACCCCTTTTGAGTTTAAAGAGAGAGGAAGGACCAAAGAGTGTCTTAAAGTTGCTCTCCCTCCCTCTGTGGGTGGATCAGGAGGGATATGCAAGAAAATGGAGGTTTCGGCACTGCCCTTTGCATAAGAGGGTTCTGGAAGAGAAAGGAGGGAAGAGCAGAAGGAAAAGAACATGGTTTGAGGTACTGTTAGTAAACCCCAAATGTACCCTCCTCCAAATGAAGCAACCTTGAAAGAAATAAAAATTGCAACATGCCATTTACAGAATCGGCTGTTCTGGTTTCCCCAGGACTACCAGTGATTCTGCTCCCTTGAATGTGAAGGCACTAAGCTCCCCCTTCAACTGTCCCCATTTTGATGGTTTAAACCAGTCAGCCTCAACCAGCGACGGCAGAAGAGAAGGAATTCTGAAAAAGCATTAGGGCTAAGCCAGAGGCCGTCCCCCCGGCTACCAGTAGGTTTTGATGCAGGTCCACTTCAAAAAGATCCAAAACCAAACAATCCAGACCCACCGCGCCTCTGCGCGCCAGCCAAGGGACGAGCGAGGACGCGCCCCCCACCAGGCCGCCGGTCTATTCTCGGCGAGGGGAGGCCGAGACAAGCCTCCATATTCTGCGCCGCCTCCCCTCCGCCGACAC